CCGCACCGGGCCTTCAAATCCACCTGGTCCACTCTCTGAGTCTACAATATGACTAGTCCCCCCGCATCAGGCCTTCAGTCGGCTTGGTCCACTCTCCGTGCCTCGTCACGTCTGGTCCGCCCTCCTGGGCCTTTAGCCTATCCGGACTGCTCGTTGGGCCTTTGGAATATCCGGTCTGCCCTGGGTATGTTGGCCTACATCACAAAGCAGTACCTGCCTCAACCAACCCTCGTCAAACAACCATATGCACAAAAAACAATTAACCACATAACAAATCCTTAACCAGACAAATAGTCTAACAGATTACCTAGCATATCAACATCCTAACCAGGATTCCGACCTAACCGGGCACTAGCATAACATTACCCTATATACTGGGTACCGACCTTAACCAGGTCACTAACATAACATTACCCTAAATACCAGGATGCAGATCTAGCAAAGCAATAACATAACAAACAATACCCAGATTTCCATCTAATAAAGGGCCAACCTTGGTGCCGTGGACCCTGTCGATATAGTGAAGATAACTTACCTGCAATTTCCGACTGAAAAGATAAGACCAAGTTGCTCTGAACACTACCACGAACTTCACCACATAACACTACCAAAGAACCAATTCCATAAATACCAAAATTACCAAAATACCCTTGGAAGTCAAATTAGTCAACTCTTGGTCAAAGTCAAATTAACCAATTTCATATATAAGCCTCTAACTCGAAATAGCTCTCAATCATACCAAAAATGCCCCAAATCTCAAATGATAATAGATCTAGATGCAAAAGAACCCAAGCAACATATTATTACCTCCAATATAAACCCCAACTGAAGTAGATCCCGGATCTACACCACTCCTTTATAGCAACCCTCTTGATCTTCAAGCCCCTTTCAAAGATTTTCCCCTCCAAAACTCTATTCTCTCTATTAATGGAAGCTCACTCGATTCTAGGGTTTCTGGATCTCAAAAGTGTAGCAAAGAGGCTGAGGGTGAGTTATAATGCGCTTTATATAGGGCACAACCCTCGGGATTAGGGTTTTCTCTCTTCAACACCAACTTGTCATGTCTAAGCCACCGACTTGGCGAGTTGGCCACTTACTCCGCGTCCCAATCCCGCTCCGACTCGGCGAGTAAGAAGACCTACTCATCGAGTCCCTTCTTTTATTTACAATTTTGGCCCTTCATTGAACTTCTGAAATTCCGGGATGTTACACAAAGAGTTCACTTGGAACGTACCTAACATAGGAATATACATAAGCATAACATAAACATAATCAACATAATATAGATAAAAACATACCGGTCACAAAATCTGGAACTGCTCCGGCCTCCTCGACAGTGAGCTAGAAATCGTGACCTCGAGCCATCGGGGGCTTCGCCCAGCCCTGACTGCCATAAGTGATCCTCAAAGTAGTTGACACTGAAACCTACGTAGGCCTAGCGACAAGTGATGGGCAATTGGTCTTCATATGGCCATCCTGGTTGTAATGATAACAAATCCTAGAAATGAGTGTTGGGGCCTGTGGAGGCAATCCCTTGCCATATGTCCCTGCTGGTCATAATTGTGGCACCCAGAAGACGATCTATAATCCCCCTCATGCACCTTTCCGCACTTTCCACAAGTGCGGTCTTTTCGGATCCCAAATATGACATCAACAGTCTTAAATCGCTTTGGCGCAGGCTGCGACTACGATGGGACCAGCCTTTGATCCCTCATCTAGAAATCAATCTCAATCTCACGTCACCTGGCGGTCTCCTGCATCTCCAACAATGAACCATAGCGTTGAGTAGACAAAATTTTTTGGATCTCTGACTTGAGCATGCTCAAGTAATCGTTCATATGAGTTTGCTCAGACGTAGCAAACTTAGGGCAAAACATTGCCTTATCTGTAAACATCTTGGTGATCTCCATCACCGACTCCAATACCTGCCTCAAATCCAGGTACTACTGGGCCAACCTCTCATGCTCTACCTACGACACATATCTAGAGCGAAAACATCTCAGAGAATTTCTCCCAAGTCATAACAGCTCTTTGCTCAATAGAATATGAACTAGTAGCAAGCCTCACCAATCCTTCTCTCCGATCATCAGAAGTTTCAGAGTGCACCTGACCTTCTGGTCAGCTGGGTAAGAACAAGTGAAGAAGCACCCCTCCACATTAGATAGGCACCTCATGGTAATGATCCAACCCCTACGGCCACAACGACTGCAATGGCTGCAGTGACAACAGTCTTAGACAAAGCAACATACCACTCATCAAAATACTCAACCATGGCATTCTTAATAGGCCCAACCATATTTGGTAACTGAGCTCCGAAATGAGCAACGACCTCCTCCTATAGAATCTCCCTGATACTATCATCCAAAACAACTAACTCGCCCTAGCAGCTAGCCC